GACCCCTTTGGGGGTTGAACGACCCTTTCACAGGGGTCGCCTAAGACCATCAGAAAACACATATATGATTACATATTGTTTTTGTGATTAATCACTATGCTTTAATTATGTTCAATGTGTAACAATGAAAATATATCCTGCATATCAGATATTTACATTACGATTCATAACAGTAGCAAAATTACAGTTATGAAGTAGCAACGAAAATAATTTTATGGTTGGGGGTCACCACAACATGAGGAACTATATTAAAGGGTTGCGGTATTAGGAAGGTTGAGAACCGCTGTCCCAAGTACTCCAAACCTTCCGAGGCTGGGAAGAGGACCTTGTATTTCTACCCCTCTCACCTTACCCACCTCCAGTGGCAAGGACAGGTCTTATTTTCATCACGCCTTCAGGGAATGTCTGAATGTAATCCAGTCAAAATCAGAAATTAGTGCTTAGACCCCATAGAGCTCTCATTCAAATGTAATGTTCTCAAAATCCTCACACTAGCACTGCCCTTTAGTTTGCAAAACATTCTGATAAGGCTCTTTATGTCCTGGGGCAGAAGTTTAAAAAAAATGAACTGTTTTTAAACCCTGGAGCTAGAGAAGAGCTTAAAGAAAGAAGCAGGAAGTTATCTTATCCAGACAACAGCAGAGAAGAGGGTCAGGTGCTATAAAGGTGACCCTCCGGGCTAGGAAAACCCCACCCCCGCGCGCGCCTCTGCAATATCCCGGGCACATCAAGCCCTCCCTCCAAGACTACAAATCCCAGTATGCCTCGAATACAATGAGTGGCAGCGCGCAATGCACGCCGGGATCTGTAGTCCGGTTCTAGTTCAGGAAAAGGCCCAGAACGTCAGGAGGGCTCGGAAAAGGAGTCGGAACCGGTCCAGGTTCAAGTTAAATCTTAGGGAGCAGAGCCTGGTTTCTTTGGTGACCCGGTTTCAGGCCCCACCCCACAGTTCAGCGGACCTATGGTGTGCGTTGAGTAGCCTCTCGCGTGATTCCTTCGCGGTTAAAGGGGAAGGACCAGACGGCAAGAATAGCAGCCTTTTGCCCTCGCGGCGCCGACTTATTAGCGTAGTGGTACGCAGGGCGCTTCCCTGCACAGGGGCCGAGACGCTGCTTCTCCAGCAGCGCTGAAGAGGACGCGGCAGAACTCTCCCTAACAACCACTTGCCTCTCCTCCACCCGTCTGCTCAGAGGCGCGGGAGGCGCAAAGGCTGCTGGGAACGCGCATGCGCCCATCCCGGTGGGGAGTGCTTTTCAACGTCCGCGGGAGTGAGGGGCGGGGGGAC